TGGTTAAGTTGGATCCTGGGAGGAGAGTTCCGAGTGCCAGACATCCACAGCAGGTACCTGGGATTGAATACCCATTGGGTTTTTAGGAGTCTGGGAGCACAGGAAACTAAGATAACTCAAGGTTCTTGAACTCTGGAGTGACAACCAGTTTCCATAGCACAGCTGTGTTCATTTAGAAGGTCAGTGGCCTCATATTGCAACGTCACTCACAGCAGTCTTCCAGGCCCATATGTCACTCACAGCAGTGTCCTCCAGAACCACACGTCACTCACAGTAGAAACTTCAGATTCTAGGTCATGGGTTATGAATTTCTTGACGAGGGGCCAGAGGTAGCTTGCTTGGTTGGTGTCCCAGAGAAAAGCCATGGATTACCAGAGGCAGGTGGGAATGGGACAATAGAGAGGTGGCCAGGAACAGGCAGCTGGAGCCAGGAGTAGATGGACAGTCTTTTGAAGCCTGGTACTTGAAGAAGGGTGTGCTGGAGGGGAAGCCCTGTGGTGCATGGCTTATCATGACCCAGACAAGCCAGGGAATGGATAAAATGAGGGATATGGCTACTACACAAGGCTAAAGGATGCCCAGCTGGAGTGACAGTGACTTCTGGCAGCTTCCCTCCACTAAGGTCAGAAGACTAAGGGGTCTTGTGCCCACCTAGACCTTCAGATGTCTCGGTCATGTTCTCTCTCAAGGCAGGAAGATGGACAGTAAGACCATGCCCAGTCAGCCGGCGTTGGTGGCACACACCTTTAATCCCAGCACTCGGGAGGCAGAGACAGGTAGATCTCTGTGAGTTCGAGACCAGCCTGGTCTACAAGAGCTAGTTCCAGGACAGCCTCCAAAGCCACAGAGAAACCCTGTCTCGAAAAACAAAACAAAAAACCCCCCAAAAACAAAACAAAACAAAACAAAAACAAACAACAAAAAAAAGGAAGCCACATGATAGCTCTCTTTCCACCTCCAGGCTGCCCTGGAAGGGCATCTGGATTCTTTTTCTCTCACTGTGTTTGGTAATGTGACTTGGTGTGTTCTGTAAGTGGATCCAATATGCATGTAAAAATGAGTTCCCACTTTTGTGACAACTTAATTTAAATGTGTTTTAAAACACTTGTAAACCAATAGAGATGTGTAATTAAGTGAGGACACACAAAATCCCAGCTCTGTTCAGGGCTTTTCTCTCATGGTGGATGTGACTGGCTGTTAATGTTCATCCTACTTTGACTTCCCTCCAAAGATGGACCATGACCCGGAATCCTGAACTCAAGGAAAAGCATGTCTCCTGTAAGCTTTTTTTTTTTTTTTTTTGTTGGGGGGTGGGTAGTCAGGGTATTATGTTTTTATCACAGCAGTAAAAATGAAACCAGGGCATAATATATGAGCACAAAAGATGCAGTTATTACAAAAATATATAAAATCTTGCCTTGTCTTCTCTGTGGGTCATCAGGTAGGCAGACATTCTTAACTCCTACGTTACTTGTCTGACACCTGTCCTTCATGCTGGAACTTTCTCAACAGAGCCTCTATTGGTCTTTCTCCTGCCCTGTTTAACTGATGGATGTCGTTGCCATGGCTTATATAAGCATTCTTCATATTTGTAAACTCTTATTTTTGCCATCACCCACAAGATATGGAACAAACACTTCTGAAATGCTTCTCTGTTCAGAGTTTCACTTATCAAAGATAATAACAGAGGTGAGACTACAAAATCAGACACACATTTGTGATACTGACAGAGGTTGCCAAGCTGTAACCCTGAAAAAATGCACTATTGGCTACTCTTATGAGAAATGCATGAAGTAGATTGTCTGTGCTCATTATTGCTAACTTTGTTTTACTGGTTGGATGTCAAAGTTTTAACCTGCATTTCTGACATTAACACTGAAGATGCACATTTTGTAACTGGCTGTTTCTCCTTCCTTCCTTCCTTCCTTCCTTCCTTCCTTCCTTCCTTCCTTCCTTCCTTCCTCCTTCCTTTCTTCCTTTCTTTTTTCCTTTCCTTTTCTTTTGTTTTTTTGAGACAGGGTTTCTCTGTACAACTCCCCTGGCTGACCTGGAACTCACTCTGTAGACCAGACTGGCCTTGAACTCATAGATCTGCATACCTCTGCCTCCCAAGTGCTGGGATTAAAGGCATGTGCCACCACTGCCCGGCATACTGGCCATTTCTATGTTATCATTTTTGTAATTGAATGTTTTAAGAGTTATTTTATGTGCATGAACATTTTTGCTTCAATGTGTGTCTATGCACCATGTGTATGCCCAGTAACTGTGGAGACCAGAAGAGGGTATTGGATCTCCAGGGGCTGGAGCTACAGATGACTTTGAGTTGCTGTGGCACATGCATGGGGGGCGGTGGTGGTGGGGATCAAACTGGGGTCCTTTGCAAGATCAGCAAGTGCTTTTACCCTTTGTACCATCTCTCCAGCCTCCTTGTACTTTTTTTTTTTTTAAAGATGGTGTCTCTTACTGACTTGAAATTTATCAAGTGAGCTGGGCTAGCTGCCTAGTGAGCCCCAAAGATCTGCCTGTCTCCACCTCCCCAGCAATGAGTTGTCAAAAGCTCAGCATTCTGCTCCCCCCACCCTGGGGAGGGGATTGAACTCAGGCCTTCAGGCTTGTAAGTCAAGCATCTTCATTGACTGAGCCATCTCCCCAGCCAGCGGTATTTGTCTTTAAAACTGTATTTATTATATCACTTTGATAAGATTCTAATACCATTTCCGTTGTTTTGTTTTCTGAGACAGGGTTTCTCTGTGTTAGCCCTAGCTGTCCTGGAACTCACTCTGTAGACCAGGCTGGCCTCAAACACACAGAAATCCTCCTGCCTCTGTCTCTCAGGTGTTAGGACTAAAGGCGTGTGCTACCAAACCTGGCTCTACTAATGCCATTTTTTTTTTTTTTTTGGTTTTTTGAGACAGGGTTTCTCTGTGGCTTTGGAGGCTGTCCTGGAACTAGCTCTTGTAGACCAGGCTGGTCTCGAACTCACAGAGATCCGTCTGCCTCTGCCTCCTGAGTGCTGGGATTAAAGGCATGCACCACCAACGTCCGGCCTATTAATGCCATTTTAAGGTCCATTACTTTTGAGGAAAATGTTACCAAAGTGGAAAACACTGTGGTGGCTGATTCAATAATGCATAGTGTCTGGAATACTCCTACAGTGCTTTTCATCAGATCTGTTACAGAAGGAATGTATTTGTAGTCATCTCCTGTGAACATGGTTGGCCTTGCTGATTGCTCAACTTATATTCTATTCATTTTGTTTGGGATTTTTTTAAGTGTTAGCCACATAGTAAACAGCATATTTTGAAATTTTGTCACATTTATGATATTCCAAGCTCCTCATGTACATTCTGTGATAGTGCCTTGAGTTTTTTATTTCTTAAAAAATAAAACTTCTTTTCTCAAGTTTATCGTTTTTCAGATTTTTCTTTTTTAATATTGGGTTGTTCTGACCCACAGCTCCCTTGTGCATTTTGGTTTGATGACACGGTGGAAAAAGAAACCAAATAAAGAAATGTAAAGATGAAAAAAACAAATCCAGTAAAGCAATGAGTGTTTTCCTGGAATTGCCGAGAGCAGGGTGAGATGGAAGGTCCTGGCTGGTAGGTAGAGTTTGACACATCAGCACAACAAACTGTGCAGACTATGGTTCCCTGCGGATGGAGCTCAAGGGTAAGTGCAGTTGGGTTGTGTGGGTTTGTGGTGTGGGAAGACGCTCTGCCTCTGGTCCAGCAGCGACCACACTCTTTTCTCGTTAGCTTAGCTGAAAATCTGCTTTCTTGCCTTGGATGTAAATTCTCTTCTCTTTCTTTTTTCTTGGCCTGCAATAGGAAATCAAGTTAGACAGATGAGAAAGAAGTTATAAAAGAAGCATCAGGTGGGCAATAAATAAATGAAACAAAGGTTAAGTGTTATATTGACTTGTCCAAGGTCACATTTGTGATGTCTTCTGAGTGATGCTGTTCATGAAGAACATGGGTAAATAACTTGCAGGAGAGGGCCTTCCTACATCCCCCACCCGCCGGTGTTTCATCTTCCTCCATAACAAAGAATGTAGTTGAAGGCCAAAAATAACTCCTCACCAGGTAAATAAGATTGCAAAAATCTAGATACTTTGATCCATTCTCACATGGAATTCAAGAAATTATTTTCATCAATTTTGTCTCCACTATTTGATGAGTGAAGGCTGTGACGGGAACATTGCTCAGTTAGTAAGTTTTCTTACTGTCTTCTCTATGAATATATGGATGCTGCTGGTAGTCTTTGGAGGAGGGCTACTCTCCTTCCTGTGCTGCTTGGCACCCTACCCTTTGCACATGGTCCTGTTTGTACTGAATCATTTGTGGGCTGCCCCGATTCCATTTTCCCACATGGTCTCAGTTTCTAGACCAGTCCAATCTGAGATGTGGGTAACAGAAGCTAATCGAATCACCCAGAAGTGCTGCAGGCCTCCTAGGTTCCAGGTAGGGGGACAAGCAGATATACTGAGCTCCCAGGGTCTCCAGGGCCAACCATGGAGCATCAGTGACAGCACTAGCAATGGTAGCAGGAGCATAAACAGCAGTGGCAGCAATGTCAGCAACAGTCCCAGCAGCAACAGTGTCAACAGCAGTAACAACAACAACATTGAGAGAAGTACCAGTGCCAACAGTGGCAATAATAACAGTACCAAGAGCAGCTGTGTCAGCAACAGCATAGACAACAACAGTAGTAACAATAACAGCAGCAACATCAACAACTATATTGACAGCAGTGTCAACACTAACTGTAACAGCTGCAGCAATAGTGAAAACAGCGGTGGGAGGAGTTGCAAAAATAATAGGAATAACAGCTGTAGCATCACCAGTAGCAACAGCAATAATAGCAATGATAACAACAGTCACAACAGCAGTACCATCAATAGTAACACCAATGGCAGCATGAACAGCAGAAGCAGCAGCAACAATCCCAGCCCTGAAAACAGTAACAACAATAGCAACCATCGCAATAGAACTAATGGCAGCATGAATGGTGCTAGTGGCAGCATTGACAAGAATAGTAGTAACAGTGACAGCAGGAATGGCCACAGCAAAAGAAGCAAGGATGGCAACAGCAGCACCACTAAAAATGACAGCCACAGCAAGAACAACAGCAGGAACACCAAGAACAGCATCACAAACAATAGCCACTGCATAAAAAGTCACAGCAGCTTCAACAACAGTCGAAGCAACATTAACATGAGTGACAGTAGTAGCAGCAATAGCAGCAGCATAAAGAGCAGCTATAACAAAAAAAGGAAAAATAATAGCAGCAAACACGTTAATGTCAACAGTAACTGCAACAACAGTAACAGCAGCAGCAACAACAGAAACAGCAGCAGCATAAACAGTAAATGTAGCAATAGCAACAGTAACACCAACAGTGACAGCGGCAGCAAGAACAGAAACATCAGCAGCAGGAACAGCGGCAGCAAGAACAGAAACAGCAGCAACAGTAACAGTGACCATAGAGGCAAGAACAGTGACAACAGAAACAATAGCAGTGACAGAAGAAATACCAACAGAAACAACAACAATACCAACAGTGACAGCAGCAGCAACAACAGTAACAGCAACAGTGACCATAGTAAGAGCAGGAACAGTAACAGTAGATGCAAGAGTAATTGCAGCAACGGTAACTGCAACAACAGCAACAGAATCAATTGCAACGATGACAACAGGAACACACACAGGAACAGGAACAGTAACAGCAACAACACTAACAGTGACAGCAGCAGCAAGAACAGTAACAGCAGCAACACCAACAGAGGTAGTGACAGCTGCAATACCAACAGCAACAGCAACAGTAGCAGCATCAACAGCAACAGTGACAGCAGAAACACAAACAGTGACAGAATCAATAGCAACAGTGACAGCAGAAACACCAACAGTGACAGCAGCAGCAAGAACAATAACAGCATCAACAGCAACAGTGACAGCAACAACACCAACAGTGATAGTAGCAGCAAGAACAGAAACAGCAGCAACAGTAACAGTGACCATAGAGGCAAGAACAGTGACAACAGAAACCATAGCAGTGACAGCAGCATTCCTAACAGTAACAACAACAATACCAACAGTGACAGCAGCAGCAACAACAGTAACAGCAACAACAATAACAGTGACCATAGAAGCAAGAACAGTGACAACAGCAACCATAGCAGTGACACCAGCAGCAACAACAGTAACAGCAACAACAATAACAGTGACCATAGAAGCAAGAACAGTGACAACAGCAACCATAGCAGTGACACCAGCAGTAACAACAGTAACAGCAACAACACCAACAGTGACAGCAGCATCAACAGTAACAGCAACAACAGCATCAGAGACAACAGCTTCAAGAACTGTAACTGCAGCAACAGTAACAGTAACAGCAACATTAGCAGCAAGAACAGTAACAGCAGCCACAGTAACAGTGACAGCAGCAGCAAGAACAGTAACAGCAGCCACACAAACAGTGACCATAGAAGCAAGAACAGTCACAACTGTAGCAGTGACATCAGCAGTAACAACAGTAACAGCAACAACACCAACAGTGACAGCAGCAGCAAGAACAGTAACAGCAGCAACAGTAATAGTGACCATAGAAGCAAGAACAGTGACAACAGCAACCATAGCAGTGACACCAGCAATAACAACAGTGACAGCAACAACACCAACAGTGACAACAGCAGCAAGAACAGTGACAACTGTAGCAGTGACATCAGCGGTAACAACAGTAACAGCAACAACACCAACAGTGACAACAGCAGCAAGAACAGTGACAACTGTAGCAGTGACATCAGCGGTAACAACAGTAACAGCAACAACACCAACAGTGACAACAGTAGTAAGAATAGAAACAGCCGCAACAGTGACAGTAGCAACAGCAACAGTGAACATAGAAGCAAGAACAGTGACAACAGCAACACCAACAGCAGCAGTGACAGCAGCAACAGCAACAGTGGTGGCAGCAGCATCAGCAATAGCAACAGTAAAAGTAACAGCAATAACAACAATGATATCAGCAGCAAGAACAATAACAGCAACAGCAACAGTAACAGCAGCGGCAAGAACAGTAACAACAGCCACACCAACAGTGACAGCAGCAGCAAGAACAATAACAGCCACACCAACAGTGACAGCAGCAGCAAGAACAGTAACAGCAGCAACAGTAACAGTGACCAAAGAAGCAAGAACAGTGACAACAGCAACTGTAGCAGTGACACTAGCAGTAACAACAATAACAGCAACGACACCAACAGTGACAACAGTAGTAAGAACAGAAACAGCAGCAACTGTGACAGCAGCAACAGCAACAGTGAACATAGAAGCAAGAACAGTGACAACAGCAACACCAACAGCAGCAGTGACAGCAGCAACAGCAACAGT